TGACATAAACGTCCTCCTATCCTTGTCCTATCCCAAGATCACCACATTCCAGCAAAGTGAAGGGAGGTGTATGGCTCTAAATCTGGTTATAACAATAGTGTTTTTAGGGTTTAAGCTATAACTCTTTCTCAAGTGAGAAACTGCTGTCTGCAATCTAAGAATAATTGCAAGGAAGCAGACATTACATGCTTACAATGACAAAGTTAGATAAACACAGCTTAACTTCATAAACTGTCCTCTTTTTCCAATTCATAGCACTGCCATCTGTCTAATGCTATTTCTTCAGTACTTGCCACTTTAAATGTTATGCCCCCAGAAAAGCATCCCACCTCTAGAAGTTATCATGTGCTCTAATCTGTAGAACATAAGATGTCCTAGATGAGTTTCTGTATTAAGCTGAAAATCAGTTAATCTGTTTTCATGGATCTCTCTGAGTTACAGAAACTGAAGACAAGAGAGTGCTTTGAGTACACTGTTATAGGAATTGTTTGGCAGAAGACCCAGCAGCACGAAACCAATCCCATGCCAAGAGGGAAGACTTTAATACAGTGTTACCGAAGCCCAGATAACGTTCCATACCTCACAGAGACTCTTGTACCTCACCCTCTTCACCACACACATCACAAAGCATTCTCAGTGGAAAGGTTTGAAAGGTTTCATCACAAACTGTTACTCTCAGAAGTACTTTCTGAGTACTTTCAGAGCAGCTCATCTCTCCAAGCATCTTCCATTGTGAAGCTGTTGGTGGGCCAGGTATATTTCAGCAAGATTATATTTGGAGGAGGTGGAGGCAGCAGAAGGGCTGCTATCCACCTCTCAATACTCCTTGCTTTTCCTATTGGAAAAGTGGTGAAGGATGGAGTCAGACAGCGAGTATCTCTTCATAGCTCTTGGACATCTCCGCAGGCCTAGTAGCTACAGTTTAAGCCCCATGTGGGTTCAAGCTTCCATATTTCACTGTAGTTCCCTGTCTTGGGGAGCTATAATGCCAGGAAGATGACTTAATGCCAGCAGAATCTAATGCTTTATGATCCTATCCTAAAAGGCAGGAGGAGTGGGAAGCTCAGCAGGCACCTGATTGAAGAGGCTGGGGGAGATAAGAAGAGATGGTGTCCTGCTGTGCATTTCCTCCACCTCCATAACCTTTTCATTTTCAAAGACTTTCTGCAGGGCTGTGGCAGCTATTGTTCTCCAGACCTGATGCATCAGCATCCTCTGATAGCAGTTAGGGAACACTGATAGCAGCTAGGGATTCATGCACTGCCAGCCCTTCTCTCTCTTCCCTTTGGGGGAAAAAAAAAAAAAAAAACAAAAAAAAAACAAAAAAAAAACAGATCATTCAGCTTCAAGAGGAAACAAAACTTGTACAACTTAGACGTCCCATTCTAGCACATGCAAGGCTATTTTACATACTCCATAACAAGCATGGGCTTCCTGTGTGTCAGGCTCATGCTCATGTATATCCGTTTACATTTACATAGTACCTCACAAATGCCCTACCTTCTTTCCCAGAAGTGGCCTTGGCAGCCAGGCCAAACTTTGGCACAACCATTCCTAATGAGCAGAGTCAACAATGAGTGAGCATTCTCCTTCAGGCTATTTATGTCAGAGTATCAATACTGTATTGTATTGTATCAAGTTAGAAAGGAGTTTAATTTAAATCTACAATGATGTTTAAGGAGTAATCTTGTGCAGGTAGTAGTCAAGCTTTATATAAAAGTTGTTTACATTTCTCTTTGACTCCATCAAAAGAAAAATGCAACTAAGGCCATACATTTGTTTAAAAACAAAAAATTTGGAAATAGAGTTGAAACAGGTTTAAGCACTATATTTGTTATCTCAAAAATGACACAGATGCTTCTATGTGAGTGTGTTTCCCATCAGTCCCAGATAACCACAGTGTGCACACCTTGGATTTGGGACTGCAGCTCGCTACACTTCCTGGACTCCTATCAGTATCTAAAGGGGAGCTACAGGAAGAAAGAAACACTTGAGCAGGGTCTGTGGTAACAGAACAAGGGGAAATAGTTTCAAATTAAACAAGGGTAGTTTTTGGTTGAATATAAGAAAAAAGTCTTTTTACAGTAAGGGTAACGAGGCACTGGCACAGGTTGCTCAGAGATGCCCTGTCCCTGTAGACTTTCAAGGTGAAGCTGGATCAAACTCTGGGCAACCTGATCTAGCTTTCATATCCCTGTGCATGGCAGGGGTGTTGGACTAGATGACCTTTAAAAGTCCCTTCCAACTCTAAGGATTCTACGATTCTGTGACTCTATGACTGTGACTCAGGGTCTGTTTTTGGGTAGAACTTTCTATCAAAATGGGATTATTAGTGATAGGAAATTTTGCAGTGTCACCTACAGTCTTGCTAAAATAGGAGGTCAGAGAATATTAGGGATAAACTGTAAGCTGTGATATTCAGCTGGAGTTGGCAAACTTGAACGTGTTTGAATTGCCTGGTTCCAATACTTTACTCCCTCATCTTCATATGCTGGTCTTGGCTCCAGTGCTTTAACCACCTGAATATACTGAAGAAGGATGTTCACTGGAAAGATCTCATAACAAAAAGACTATTCCTGGCCCTCTTACCATCACATCATAATCCGTCCCCTAATAAGGCTTGAGATCTCATCTGATCAAAAGGTCATAAGATGCTGCTGCTAAGTATCACTCTGTCTCTGCTCAGCCGAAGGCATTTTTACTTCATACAGCAGGCAGGGAAATGCAACAGCAAAGCCTTCAAATCTGTTTGTATAATAGATGAAGTCTTTTCCATGTAACATTTATCTTCCTTCAGGGAGTGACACCTGATAAATAAATCTTGAGTTGCCAGTGAATTTAAATAAAATAAAGGCAAATCATATTCTTACATGCTGTAAATACATAGCTACAGAGAGCACAAGTTCCCACTGTCCCAATATTTCCTCCTCTACAAAAGCAATACAGCAATGACCGTTCTCAATTTCTGCCAAAATGAAAGGAACCCAAATCTTTGAAAACATAGAGAAGAGCATAGTGATAGCATAGGAAGGAATTAAAAATATATCACTCATTTAGACTAATGAAAGGGTATAAACTGACATATTGCTTTTTAAAGTTAGCAAAAAGCAAAAGGCAAAGAGGGGGGCAATTAGCATTACCAATAAGAGCAATGGAGTGAAGATGAGAGCATGTCTAGTAAATGATGGGATGCCTCTCTCCCTGAAAAAACACTAGGTTAGGCAATTTTCTATATATCCTAGGATGAATATAACACCAAATGACATCCTATCAAACACCACCACGTTGGCCAGCCAGACACCACTTCACTGCTATGTGCAGGTGGCTGCAGCTCCATTGGTCCCATGCTGCTCCTGTCCCTGGATGGCAAGCAGTGCCCATGATTGCCTACCCACACAGAGCCCTCATCTAGCACATCTACCGAGCTACTTTGAGAGAGCATCACAACTGGAAAAAACACTGCCTTGTGTCTCCCACATACTGAGAAGTTGTCACGACCGCATTAAGCATCTGTGTTTCCCAAGCTCTACCCTATTCCTGCTCTCAAGAAGCAGAGCTATGCACTGCAATGGACAGACAGTGCCTTTAGCTGCAACTGACAGTCATTTTGCTTCTCTCTGTGCTTTCAAAGCTGAGAGACATCAAAGATTAGTTGAAAAATCATGACTATTTCTCCCTAAGAAGCAACACTGGTAATAGGCTTCAGGAAAAAATCCTCCTAACTGCAAGTGATAAGCATAGACTGCGTGAAGGCTGACAGGTCTGATTATAATTATCATTGCGAGGGAACCAACACTAACCTCCCTTCTGGAAGGCAATGACAATTCCTGGAAGGGAACATGCAAGTGAATTATCATAAACAAAATTATTGCATGTGGAACTAACGTGCACTCAGAAATGAAATAAGACCTTGATTTAGAAGGAAAACAAAACAAAACAAAATAAAACAAAAAAACCTGAAAACACGTACAACAAATAAAAAGCCACTTTGAGAGCTCGTTCATGTTTACTCCTGTAGAAGACAGTATTCATACTCTAAACTTTTATTGACTTCAGGATGATGCTTGGGGTGGAGTCATGCACTAAAAAGATGTTTGGAAAGAAAGGATCTCTCCAGAAGCCATATTTAAAGAAAATGCTCTTCAAAATAACATGGACATAATGCCCCAGAAAGTATGTTGGTCCATACTGAGCTAAATAATCTAAGACAAAACTCAAACCTTGAACCAAGCACTCCCCTTTCTCATGTCCTAGAAGGCAGAAATCCAAACAGAACCAACACAAAGGTCTTTAAATTGAACCTATACCTTGGCTGAAACACAATGATGTTAGCTTTTAGGCAGATTTCTGGGAGAACTAGATATGGTAAGTAGTATATACTTTCATGATCATCCTTCACTGTGCTTTCTCTGACGGCATTACATTTTTCATAGCCTATGGATTGTTTTGCTGTTTCTCATTCTATTTCCACTGGAAACTTGGAAATAGAAAAACTCGGTCAGTTTGGAATAGGAGTAGAAGGACAGCACATTTTTCTTTCTGAACAAAGGAAAATAGACATTATCTCCTTAATAGTGGGCTATAACTGCAAGGAAGATGAAGAGGAGGGCCTCAGAGTCAAAGGCAGTTCGAGGAGTTTCATTCTCATTATATCTCAATGGAGTGAAGCAAATAAATTGCACAAGGAGACATATGGAAGCTCACTACGCAAATGGCCTATTTAAGGCTCTTACTTCCTAATTAGGTCCCAGTGTCAGGAGGTTGGTAACAATTATTCACATGTAGATCATTTGGATACAATACAAACTGTTATAAAACCCAAACCATCATAACGGTATGCATTAAAAAAAAGTCCTTTTTGGCTTGATCTTTTAGACTTTTTCACTTCACACTTGGAATGTCAATTTCTGTGCTACGCAGATCCCAAGTTTTGTATCTATTTCTTCAATAATGAGTTTGGAAGGGGAAAAACCTTCACAGATATAATTCCTTGGTCTTACCTTATTCATGGATTTTGTCACCAGACTCTGCACAGGGAACCCACACTCTCTTCCCAAATTCTTCATCTGGTTCTGTGGTGTTACCCAGAGCAAAGAGAAAAGAGAAAATATTAATTGTAGACATGCAAGTGCAGAAAATGATCACAAATATCTGAATATTTTCACTCTTCCAATTCATTACATACTTCTTTCTGTACATCACCCAGGACTCTTTCAACTAGGGTCCACCCCCACTTGCTTCAGCACCTATCAGTTTTGGAAGGTCCTCCAAGCTCCTCCTTGAATCATGTAGAGGGACAAGCAGCTCAGGTGAAAGTGGGCAATGTGGTGCCATAACAACTTTGCCCATTGGTCATTAGGCACATCCCAAAGTGTGATGACTGGGACAAGAGCCACTGATTTGTATGACAACACATACTGCTAAAGCTTGGGAAGAGCAGGACAGCAGGGAAGGTATCCAGTGGTGCCAACTAATTTGCTTTGTTTAAGACTTAAAGCAGAGGGCTAAAGACAGAGATTAACACTTTTCAAAAACATTTAAAGTAGGGTAAGTTGTTTTAATTCAATATCATTCCTATAGCAAACCTACAGAAATATTTCAGTATTTCAGTATTTCAGGTACAAAAATCCCTCTCCCTCTCTTCCCTTCCCACCTCCTCTCCTCTCTTTGTCCACCTCTTGAACCGTTCCCTCAAAAGGTGTAATATTTCACATTTTCACCTGTAGTGAAAATGCATATCAGAGAGTATTTTCTTTGCTTTGCTTGTCACTGATTTTGCCCATGGCATCTTTTTAAGCAACAGCCTGTGCAAAGATAATAGGTGGCACAATTCTCTATAACTGGAATCAGCAACAAATCAGCCATCTGCCACTCCAGGGGTCTGAGATTAACCTAGCTACTGGACTGTGACTGGAAAGCATTTGCACATTTAGATTACAGAAGTGTGAGGTTATTGGTAAAAAAAAATATATATATTGGGAGTGGGGAAGGTATGGGGAGAAGGGGTGGAAGAAAGCATTGGAAGAGCCCTCTGGATTAACCCTTCCACTTGCAAGCCATCTCATAACAATTCCAAGCAAGCAAGGCTTCATTGTAAGATATTAAAAAGAAGAAGTGTTTGAAGAAAAGAACTTGAGATTCATGAGATATTATGCTTCAAGGGAATACATCCAGAGAAATTAATAATACAGGCAGAAAGACTGACAAAGACACTCAGCTGCATTGTCACCGCTCCACAGTCTCAATTGGGAGGTTATGATTAGATGGCTTACCTGGACCATTAGAAAAATACAAGAGAAATGTCTTTGTCCCAGGATGGGCATCCTTACACAAGCTCTCATACTCCAGAGCATTGTCAAGACAATGAGGAAATAGAAGAGATCTGTGCTCTGCAGTATGAAGCTTTAGGAAAATCCTTTCATTTTTCTGTTCTCAGTTTATCTTCCTAAATATCATGCAACATAATGCTGCACTGAACACATGAATACTGCTGGAATACATTAATTTTTTTGTCCATGTATTTGGTATTGTGTCTATAGATATATTCACTAATTGTGATTTGGAAAGCAAAATACTAGGAGGTTTAAATCAGAAGGAGAGACAAGTTGGCTGGATGTCCCAAAGTACGAGCTGTGCTCTGTGCAGGTGCACGAGTGTTAGGACAGCTGCCAGGGTTTCCTCTGCTCACTTTGATGTGGGCTTTAATCCCCACTCCCAGAGTTTGCTTTTCCAGGTTAGCATCTCATGGTGAGGGATCTTAGGTTAAAAAGAGGGGGCTGTGCCCAGAGGAAGAGCAGCAGCACCAGCCAAAACCATCAGCAAGGACACCTGGGAAATTCAGGCATATTCTGTGTGGTATGTACCTTTGGTGAGAATGGTAGCTTAAATACACAATTCACCTCATTAAGTCTAAAGAGGCAACGGAAAAGCAAACAGCAAGCCCATGTGTGCACATGCAAACACATATATTTATGTGTGTACTTTATTCACTAAGAGCAGGTGGCATCTGGTGGAAAGCACAGTAGCACAGCAATTACACCAAATTACTTGACCAACCTTCTTGTTGACAAGGGGGAATGGCTTTAAACTGAGACAGGGGAGGTTTAGGTTAGATATTAGGAGGAAGTTTTCCACACAGAGGATGGTGACATGTTGGAACAGATTGCCCAAGGAGGCTGTGGATGCCCCATCCCTGGAGGCATTCAAGGTCAAGCTGGATGTGGCTCTGGGCAGCCTGGTTTGGTGGTTGGCAACCCTGCACATAGCAGGGGGGTTGAAACTAGATGATCATTGTGATCCTTTTCAACCTGTCCATTCTATGATTCTATGATTTTTTCCCCACTCACTCCAATGATTCCAAAGTTCTTGTGACAAAGGAAAAAGAGGAAGAATACACAATGGCATCTCTTGCTCAAGCCTAAGTCAGGCTGCAACAACCACGTGGTTGGAGGAACAGGGAGAGAATGGTCACTGCAGACATCCTGCTCCATACAAAGATATGTCACACTAGAAATTAATACTTATCCTAGCAGCGTTAATTTGTGACTGTGTTTCTGATGCTCTGAGAGGAATGACTATTGATCTGCAAGGAGCTATCTTTGGATAAGAAAAGGATGAAGGAAAGTAGCCAAATAACAACCTTTCAGTCACAATCTATTTATCACATTATTTCCAACAGGCATTGACTGAGCAGAATCAGGTCCTCCAAAACCACGTTTACATGTTTAGAATCAACATGAAATTTGAACAGATTTGGATATATAGTAGGACAAGAATTCCAAGTGAGATAAAGGTCATTGGAATCATCCCACATTTGGTATTACAAACTGGACCAAGCTAACAACATGCAAGCTTCTGAGACTCAGTAGACTGATGAGCCTCTGCCTATGATTTAGGAAGATCCCTTAAAGCTGATCTGCTGGCTGCTGATAAAAAAAGATCTGGATCTCTTGTCAGACCCATGGTTGGGGGTTTTCTCTCCCCAGTCTCTAACTACTGTCAAGACCACCTGAAACTAGTGATCCAAATTCCAGTGTGATCCAGACAGAAATACATGTATAAATGGTAGGGGAAAGATTTTTTGCTTTGAGCTTCCGTCTTGCATTCTTACAAGAATGTTTCTAGGTGCTATCATCATTTCAAAATGGTTAAAAATTATGCTGCTTGCATACACCTTTTCCCACCCTACGAATGAAAGGAAGAGGGGAACAACGCAGAAAAAACTTCCTTTTCAGAGAAAAAACAGAAAAACTCCAGCCCAACCGATGTGAATCAGTTATGAATTGCTGCCAAATTTTAGATCTCTATTATTATTATCTCTTTTTGCCTAGGTAGGCTTTGCAGAAAGGGGCTTTTACAAGAGAAATCCCACCTCTGCATTAAGCAGGGGATTGACTGACCATGTAACTGTGGCACACAACCTGGAAGTTGCCACATCCCTCAGGAAAAGAGAATCACATGGGAGCACCAATGCAGGCAACACTGCACCTTGCAGAGGTTCGTATGTCCTACAAGTAACCTTGCATCATGATACAGAGCAGCGAGAGCAGCCTTATGGGTACTGCGAGAGGAGGAGGACAGCAAGGAGGAGGGGAAGGAGTGGCAATGGGGAAACAGTCAGAAAACTCCCTGGGAATCAAGTCTTCTATTTCTTCCTAGGAAAAATTGTAAAAAAAAAAAAAAAAAAAAAAAGATAAAAAAATCCTTCTGAAGTGAGATTTCAGCAAGCAGGAGGGGATGGTGTGTTAGCTCATTCTGTTACCTGCCTATAATCTTTTACATGTGAGATTGGTAACGTGTACAGCCAGGCTAGGAATGGGTAAAAACACAGCATTTCTGCCTAGCATTTGCTGTGCCCAAGGATAGTGCTGCTGGGGATACTGGGGGCTGCCTGGCTCCTGCTACCCCCTCTCTGGGATGGAACCAGTGCAAAGCCAGGAACGAGAGTCCCTAAATTAGGCAAGAAGGGAAAAGGGTGGCATTTAATAGGTAAAAGAGGAGGGAGAAGACTGCATCCAGCTGGTGGCCCCGCACCACATCCATTCTCATTCCTGGCACGTTTCTCCACTCTCGAGAGCAGCCCTGCTTGGAAATATTAGTGCGGCACAGAGCGCCGTTTTCGAGTTGCTGCAGCTCCTTCTTGGCACCGGTTCAGCTTTTTGTCTTTTCTTCTCCTCTGAGCATGCAGTGGAGGGAGGAGGAGAGGAAGGACGAAAACAAGGCGCTTTGCTCTGCAGCCGCATTCCTCCCCTGGCACCCTCAGCATCAGCCCCACACCCCTGCCTGCTCCCACCCAGCCCCGCTCAGCAAATGTAAATCTTCCCACAGCAGCCAGTCTGTAGCTTCCTTCCCCCTCCTGCCATCCCTTTTCATTGCTTTCTCCTTTGTACTCCTCTAAATTTTTCCAGCCAAGCGTTGCAACCTTCTACCCCCCCCCTCCTTTCTCCTCCACCCCTCACCCTCCCACCTCCTCCCCATGCATTGGAAAAAATCGTGCCATGGTTGCCAATGTCCTGGCATCTCCTTGTAGCAGAGGGTGATAACAGTTCCCTTGTGCACCCCTGGACCCCCTCAGTCCTTCTCATCCCAAGTGGGACCAGTGAGGACTCCAGGTGCTCATGTGTACGCCCATGTGTACATCGCTGGATGTTCTCCATTTGCATCCCTCGACATAGCTTTAAATACAAACTTCCTGCAAGCAGGCATTTGGCAACCAAATGCCTCCTCATTCTTGGGGCCAGGAAAAAAACAGAGGTGGAATAGTGAGGGAGGGAGGGAGGGTGTATTTTTTTAAGCAACCCAAACATGGCACAGAACTCTTTCACCAACTTTGTCCCAGGCTGCTATGCTGGCAGCCAGCTGCCGGTTCCAGCCTGGCACCCACTTTCATTTGTTTTTCTCTGCTCTTAAACTCCCTCCTCCCAAATATTTATTCCCTTATTTTTTTTTTCTTTCTCCTTTTTTAATCCTTTTTCCCTCCAAGTATGCCCAGAGGAGGGGCTCTTTCCTTCTCCCACCCACAAATCCAAAGCAGCATGTGTGGAAGGAGCAGCGACGGGAGTGAAACATGATG